TCTATCATGCAAATGAAAAACAAAAAAGGACAGGAGTTGCTATTCTTATATTAGATAAAACATGTTAAACAATGAAGGGCATTACTATAATGATAAAGAGTACAATCCAACAAGAAGACCTAACAATCCTAAATATATATGCATCCAACACTGGAACACCCATATCTATAAAACAAGTTCTTCTTGGCCTATGAAAAGATTTAGACAACCAAACAATAACAGTGGCAAACTTCAAAACTCCACTGACAGTGTTAGACAGATCATTGAGAGTGTTAGACAGATCATTGTTAGACAGAAAACTAACCAAGAAATGCTGGATTTAAACTCAACACTTAACCAGTTTAAACTAATAGATAAATACAGAACACTCCACCCAAAAGGAATGCTTATACACTGTTGCTGGAAATGTAAATTAGTTCAGGCACTGAGGAAAGCAGTTTGGAGATTTTTCAAATAATTTAAAACAGAGTTACCTTTCCACCTAGTAATCCCATTATTGATTATACAACCAAAGGAAACTAAAATATTATACCAAAATGCACTCATATGCTCAAAACCGTGCAATTCACAATAGCAAAGACATGGAATCAACCGAGGTGCCTATCAATGACAGATTGGATGAAGAAAACATATACGCTATGGAATACTACACAGCCCTAAAAAAGAATGAAATCAGTTTGTTCGCAGCAACATAAATAGAGCTGAAGGCCATAGTCCTAAGTAAATTAATGCAGGAACAGAAAACCAAATACTACATGTTCTCACTTACAAGTGGGAACTAAACATTGAGCACACATGAACATAAACATGGGAACAATTGACACTGGGCACTACTTGAGGGGAAGAGAGAGGGAGGTTGACATAGGTTGAAAAACTACCTATTGAGTACTATGTTCACTACCTGGGTGCAGTATACCCATGTAACAAACCTTCATATGTACCCCCTGTATCTAAAATAAAAGTGGGAATTTTAAAAAGACTAAACATGTTAAAACTAGTACTCTCTAAATTTTATCTACAGTCATTAAAATCTCAATTGTTATCTCAACTGTTTTTGTTTTCTAAGAAACTAAAAAGCTGATTCTAGAAGGTATATGAACACAAAGAATTTATGAGAAGTCCCACTCTTGGTTAGAAGTCTATGTACGATGTTTCAGGCCATAGGTAATCACAAAGGCTTTACCTGGCAGGTTTACAGGGTGTGGAGAGGCTGTTCTGTCCACCCCAGACTTGGTGCACAGCCAATGCATTGCAGCCTTTGAAGGGAGTTGCAGTCAAGGATCCCCTGGTTGGTCACGCCCTTGTGTATATTTATATTGCCAGCTCAGAGTCCTTCATTCTTAGGTCTCTTTATCTGAGGTCTATGTAGAGGTCTTCTTCAGGTGCCTCTGTCAAGGCCTCCTAATAGGAGAGGAAGAGAAAACTTAAAGACACTTTTCTCCACTCTGAGTACCCAGTGAGTTTCCACTTTCTCCTTGCAGGGCCCCCCAACAGTGAGACAAACCCATGTCTGTACTAATCCAACTAACCCTTGACCAGGTCATTTCCACAGAGAAAAATGGAACAGGGGGAGTCAGTACTTTCTCTGGCTTTAGATTCTTGCTTACACTATTGAAGGAGGTAATTAAAGCCTTAACTCTTTCCTTTTGGGCTTGTTGCTTTAATTGGCTCACTACCTGGGTGCAATATACCCATGTAACAAACCTGCATATGTACCCCCGTATCTAAAATAAAAGTTGAAATTTTAAAAATATGTTAAAATGAGTACCTAAGTCCTCAGCACTCTTTTTCAGCTCTGCTGAGCTCCTGACACTCTAGAATAATCAAAACGTTATTTAGAAAGAACACACTTGGAGTACTTTCACTATCTGACTTCAAGACTTACTATAAACCCGCAATAATCCAAGGAATGTGGTACTTAAAAGGGCAGACAAATAGGAAATACACATTAAAACCACAATGAGATACCACTAACCATCCACATACCCACTCAAATTAAACCACCTGGCAACACCAAATGCTGGCAAAAATTTGGAGTCCCAGAACTCACATATATTGTTGGTGAAAGTGGATAATAGTACAACCAATTTGGAAAAAGTTCTAATAGTTTCTTATAAAACTAAACCCCTATGATCATCTATCCCTATGAGCCAGCAATTATGCTCCTAAGTATTTACTTAAGAGAAATAAATACATACATCTACAAAAAAAGACTTAAACCAGAATGTTTACAGAAAGTGAATTAATCCTTGCCAAAACTTGGAGACATCTTGAATGTCCATCTCCAGGAGAGTGGCTAAACAAACGGTAGTATATCCATATGGTGACATATTCCACTGCCACAAAAAGGAATGAAGTACTAATACACACGACTTGGACAAATCTTAAAAACATTATTCTGAGTGAAAGAAACTTTGCATAGAAGAGTGTATGATGTTATTCCATTTATATAAAATTCTAGAAAATAATAATTTATAATAAAGAAATCAGAACACTGGTTGCCTCTAAGGGGTTAGCAGTGGGGAAAACTAAAGGCATGAGAAAACCTTGGAGATAATGGTAATATTCTATAATTTGGTAGGTTACACAGTGTATGCATTTGTCAAAACTTGTTTAACAGTATTCAAGATTTGTGCATGGCGCTGTAAGCAAATTTTACCTGAAAAACACCTTGAACTCCAGTTAATTATATGTGTGCTGAACTGCTTAGAAGTGAAGTATGCCTTCAACTGACTTTTCAATGAATTACAAAATTAGATGGATTGATGGACGAATAGAAGGATGGATAGATGGATAGTTATGTGGTAAAGCAATAATGGTTTTATCTAGAACCTAGGCGGTGGGTACATGCGTGTTCACGGTATGATACTTTCAGCTTCTATAGATGTTTGAAAATTTTCATAATAAAATGGAAAATAATGGCACGATTCTGTGTATTTTTTAATAAAATCAACTTTGAAATACGCTGATAAGAACCACATTGCTAATTAAAGAAGCGAAGTACAGGAAGGTTTGGACTGTGTGTTTCCTGTGTAAAACAAGAAAGGGTCAGATTTACATAAACTTGAGCAAGCAAGAACTATTATTTCTAAGAATATGTACCAAAACACTTAAAAGACTGTTTGTCTCTGGAGAGGGGACTTACTTTTTGTTCTCTGTTATAATTGAGTCATTAACTATGTGCATGTATTAATTCAATAAATAAACACATTAAAATTAAACGAGAGTTTAGTATCCATAACATTCCCTGAGAGAAAAATGTAGAGACCACTGCAGTTTGAAAAGCATGAAAAGGGAGGGGAATATGTTTGCTGGTTTTTTTTTTTTTTTTTTTTTTTCAAACAAAGAGAATACTGATGAAGAGGCAAAGATTTGGAATTTAGTAAAGAATAGGGATCATTTGTTAATTTTCAGAAGCTTTTAGGATAAATGAAATGAAAAAGATGCTGGGTTATTTTGGCAGAGAGTTTGATACAATTGACTAAAAGATTTAAAAATATATCTACATGTCAATAAAAACTGAAGTATTCTATATCTTTTACTATTTCTACTTAGCAGAGTTTACCTCAAGCCACTGTCTGAGTCATGTCCAATAGATGTAAAGGCTTCACACACACTCCTCATATGAACAAGTTACTGAAATATTGTTAAAGTGTCACATTTTCTCTATTATAAGGTAAATTGCTTTTCACAATTCTATTTTCTTTGAAATATGAGTAAGACCTATAATCAATCTTCACCTTTAATGTGGTAGTACTAAACACCACCCAAAAGTAACAATTCGGTATTTAATAGAACATCTTATAATAGAGAGAATCTCAGAATCAAATAAGATAGGTTAGTTTTTGCAAGGCTGTCTTTCTAGAGTTTCCTAGTATTCTGTAGAGTGTTAGGCCTATCATTTTCAGTTACCCACCAGACTGTACTTTACTGAGGCACAGGCAACTGCAAAACTCAGACAATTCTTGATAGTGTTGATATTAACACTTGAGATTTGTGATCACATAGGCATTGACTTGAGTCCTGACTCTGTTACTTACTCTTGGATTATAGGAACTTGGATAGGTTATTTAAGGTCTCTAGGTCTTACCTCTAAAATTTCCTAATCTGTAAAAATAGTGTAACAATAATAAATAGCCAAACCAAAAAATAGACTTAAATAAATGTATGAAAAGCAGAGTAAGTGCTCAAAAACTTAGATCTACTTTTATGCAAAAATGAACTATTTTAAGCAGTTACATGATATGAGAAATCAGCTTGATAATGGAAAAAGATCATAGCATTGTGGTCAAGTTTTACACATGCATGATCTGTTTCATGGCCTAGACCAAGTTGAATTAGAATAGAAGAAACTATATTACAAGTATCCAGGAATTAAGCAAAGACAAAAAAATAGTTATGACTGTGATAACTGAAACAAAGGAAGAGATATAAGAGACAACACATTTAATTTGTGAATTGGCAAATAAGGTAGGTGAAGAAAAAAAGAGGCTTATGGAATTCTTGAGCCTAACGTGCAAGAAGAGCAGGGATGCCATTTATTGGGAGAGGGGAACTGAGGAATAAGAGCCCGTTTATTGGTGTGTGTATGTGCTGGGGGAGGAATGAGTTCAGTTTGAGATAACCATGAAGACCCAGCAGACAGCTGAAATACTGTTATGAAGTTCCCTTATATTCTAACATATTACCTTTAGTTCTTTGAAGTCAATTCTGCACCCCACTGTTTGCTCTACACCCAGACAGTAGCACCGACTGGTGTTCAGTAATGACAGATGGTAAAGTGGTGGGAGAACAGTGGTGAGTTGCCGGTGCATGCTGCAAGGCTTGGGCATGAAGACTCATCCTGAGTGAAGAGCCACACAGTTCCACCAGGGGGAAGACTGATTTTTGCATATCTTGCAGAAAATCAACCACCTGTTAGAGGAGGGAAACAGAGCAGGAAGGAGCTACGCTGTAGGAAGCAAAGATGAACTTGAGTTTCACTTCTTAGTGCCTTTTCTCAGGGGAGAGGCCATCACTAGAAGATGCTGGGTTTCCTGCTCCTTCTGCTGGGACGAGGTATGAGCCTTGGCTTGTGAGGAGTCTGGGGTTAATGTTAATGCTGGGTGGAGAGGTGGAAAGACTTTCTCTTCAGAGAGTCTGAAGCCACCAGACAGAAGATGAAGGGGATATGTTAGATTAAAGGATCATAACAGAGTAATTGTTGGCACAATAAAAAGGAGGCAGTGCCCTGGGGTCCTTTGGGAGCTGAGGTGGCATTGGAGTGACAAAGCAGAGACGTTCCTGCCTGGCGAGACATCTGACTCCAAGCTTGTCAGTCCTCATGCATATCTCTCTGGAATTAGGCTCTGTGTTCAGTGCTGTCGTCTCTCAAAAGCCAAGCAGGGATGTCTGTCAACGTGGAACCTCCGTGACAATCCAGTGTCAAGTCGATAGCCAAGTCATCATGATGTTCTGGTACCGTCAGCAACCTGGACAGAGCATGACACTGATTGCCACTGCAAATCAGGGCTCTGAGGCCACATATGAGAGTGGATTTGTCATTGACAAGTTTCCCATCAGTCGCCCAAACCTAACATTCTCAACTCTAACTGTGAGCAACACGAGCCCTGAAGACAGCAGCATATACCTCTGCAGCGTTGAAGACACAGTGCTGGGCACAGATCAAAGATCTGAGCAAGAACCTCAACTCTCTCGTACCCAGCTCCCCTTGCATGAGCCTGAGGGCCCTGCCAAGGTGGGACAGGAGGAGGAAACCACAGCTCTTGGGCAGACACAGCTGTTTCTGTGCTTGTGGGTGGGCATGGGTGTGAATGGATAGACTGGGGATAAGAGAGCATCTGTAGGACTAGCTGGAGTGTTCTATCCACAGACAGGAAGGGTGGCTCCTGGAAAGCTGAGGGTAAAATTTCTTCTAGAAGGGTGCTCAGAAATACCCAATAAAAACAATCAGATACAGTTTCCTTCAAGTGGAAGGGTCAGTAATAGCCTTTAACTGTTTTATCTCAAGGCTCTTTTTAGCTGGTTTTCTATCATAATATATTTTGGCACAACTTTAGTCACCTTGAAACAAAGCTGGTACATTACGTTAATGACATCTGGTTGTTCTCAGTCAATAGGAATTATAAAGCTCTCTAGATGCCTCAGTATGACAATATGACACATGTATCCCAGGCCAACATAAAATCTGCGAAGTTCAGGAACCTTCTATAATGGTGAGTTTTGGAGTAGTCCAGAGGTTTGGGGCATGTCAAAATATCTCCTCTAATGTGAGAAGTAAGCTGCTGCACCTTAGATCATCTACCACAGAGAAAGAGGTGCAATGCTAAGTCTTCGGACTTTGAATTAAACTTTGGATATACTGCACTTGATTGTGCTACTCTATTCCATTTACTATGTAATCTGTAAAGCTGGAGCCATTGCAAGAGAGGGTTCTGTGGCAGAACAAGCCCATAATGAAAACTTCCTGCTGGTTGGGCCATAGACTAAGCAGACCCAGTTGTTCTTGAAGAGCCTATGATAGATACGGATGCTCTAAGGAGATCCTGACATTCCCCAATAAGAGAATCACAAGGCAGTGTGGAACAGGTTCGCTGTGCCCTGATTGGCACTTCAGACCATTGCATCTTGGGCTATACTTTTGTTGCTTTCCAGATCCCAGAGAGAAAGAATGCTCACACACACAAATTACATGAAGATTGTTTATTACATACAGGCAGCAAGGGAAAACAGAGGCCTAAGATTCAGGGAAAGCCAGTTCCACTAGGCTCAAGAAAGCTGCCAATGGTGGATGAAACTTTGTCTGTGCCTTCCCTACTTGCTCTGCCACTGAGGGACCTCAGAGAGCAGCCACTCTGGGTGTTATATCCTAAGCAACTTGACATGCTTGGCAAAACATTGAAGGGCATCCTACTTCTAGAAGGGACTGGAACAGAGCCCTGGCTGTTCTAGCCAGTTCCTCCTAATCTCAGGATGTTACATTACCAGCACATTGTACAGTCATTCTTGAGAACTACAAGCAAGAAATGGGGAGGTACTGAGTTGGTCCAAGGCCACCTGGAGAATTGCCCTGAAGACAGGTGCAGAGTTTTGGTGTAAAGCTATACTCTTACCGGCCAACGACCCCCTTTTCTTTTGAAACGTTGCTCCTGCCTCTGTAACGGATACCTTATAATGGCATTCAGAACAAGGTATTATCTGATCTGCAAAACTGTAACGTTGGCTGTGCCCAGAGCATTCTCTCTGTTATTAAATGGAAAATATATAATCGAGACCATACTTAAATACAGCTGGAAGAAGGTACAATTCAATTTCAAGAGCACATCTCAGAGTGTCATGGTACCCACTCATGCTTTTCTCCTCTTACCTTCAAACCACACCCAAGTTTCATAGAAATTTCATATTTCCAGTTGAGAAACATGAGGTCATTTTTTTCAGATGGGTCTCCACATTATTCTTGAAGGATCATTACAGCCTAACCAAGTATGGTTCTGAAAGGTAGTGGTGAAGGGAAATCCTCTTGGGGCCAAAACTTAAATCGGTATACCTGATTGTTGTCCACATTTTATTGAAGAAGATATGGTCAGAAGTATAGCTATATCTTATATTCAATTTTCTTTCATACTATCATCTAGTCTTCTTACCTATTCAGTCATATTTTTCTTCTTTTTGCTTCTCTATGCTACAATCTGGGTAATTTCTTTAAAACTACTGTTTAGTTTACTAATTCACACCTCAGCTCCAGTAATTTAATGTTTCAACTGACTTTGTTCATCTAAATTATATTTTTTATTTCTAGAAACTCCATTTGGGTCATTTACAAATATGAGTTGTCATTTTTGAACGCATCTTGTTCCTTGTGTATTTTAAAATTATTTTCTTTTTATAAGTATATTAAGCATCTACTGGGAATTCTTATCTGACAATGCCAGCATTTGATGCCTTTTTGCATCTTGTTTTCAGTAGTCTGCTGACTCTCACTCAGGGTGGCCTATTTCCTTGTGCACTATGTAACTTGATGTGAATTTATCTTTCATAATTCTTTAAATACTGGAGTAAACGTGGGTTTTCTAGGAAATATTCATGCTTGCCTCTGTCAAGAAATTGGAGTGCTACAGACCCAATATCATTTTATTTTATAATTCTCAGTATATGTCTTCTTGGTCATAGAATGTCTATCTCAATCTCCAATGGGCTGACTGTTCAGTGACCATGAATACTCAGAGGAAATTTTTTAAAATCCTTCACCCAAAGCCAAGACCAAGATAAATAATATTCTTTGTTAACTGCTTCTAGGATTAGTTTTCTAGCTCATCCTTTCACTAACTATGTATCTCTTTGTGTACCTCACTTTATAAAGGAGTGATTCCTATCTAGTTTCTGGTCCATGTAAGGTCCCATGGGCCTTGTCCAGTTTCCACGTGTACTAATTCTCCAGGTCACAGGAATGCACATGTATACCCATTTTATCTCATGAGTTCAATGCTAGCTTACCTTTCCTGCCCCATGCTCCCATTACCATAGGAAGTTGACAAATTTACCTACAGTGAAGTCTTGGATTATGAAGCACCTTCCTATATTATAAAATTGCCTCTTTAAAAGCAGTAAAGCACTGTGGTTAGGAACTTGAACTTTGTCAAGTGACAGACCTAAGTTTAAAACTTGGTTCTTCTGCTTTAACACTAGGTGTAACCTTAACAAGTTACACAATTTCTCCATGCCTTAATTTCTCCATAGAAAATAAGGATAATAGCGAGTTTTTAAATGTAAATTTTTAATAAGAAAGTGATGCAATTATCTGTATAAAAAGCACACAGAGACAAAATATGCAATTAGTGTAGTTGCTATCTAAACGTATTTCTCACTATAAAAACATAGTTTACCACTAGCAATTCCTTCCTCAAGAATAAGTAGGACCCTCTCTCAGAAAATTTTATTATTACAATTGTTTCTCTTTTAGATATTTTAACTAAATAAAAAAATTTGTGGTATTATAAAATATGCATATTATCAAAATAAAAAAGTCAAAATCACTCAGTTTAATAAAATTAGATCATAAAATATGTAGTTTTAGAAGTTAGTCCCTTAACCCAACAATATTTCATGAATATCATTTCATGTCAAAAATATTTTACATTAACTTTAACAAGAATAATTCAATATACTGATGAACGTCCTTCATACAATCAAAACCCACGACAAGGTATATATCCATAGGCTAGATGACACGGTTACTTAATTTTAAATAGCAATCAGTTGTGTGTGTTGAATTATTTCTGTTACAGACTCAGAAGGAAATCATGAAAGCCCTCCTAACTCTACCTGCAAATGGCTGGTTCCTTTTTATTCAGGTGTTAACTTAAATGCCACCTCCCCAAAGAGACCCTTCCTGACCACTCTACATAACAGCACTTCAGCAGTCATCCCATATTATATTATCACTTTATCCTATTTTAGTAATATGTACTCATCATGTACTGAAAGTAATGTATGTGCATCCCATTTCTATACCTCCTCACATGTGCATGAATGCATGCACATGTACACATGAATGCAATGAAAACAAGAACCTTTTCTGTCTTCTTCATTGCTGTTTCCAAATAGCATAGAAGAACTCTTGGAATATCACTTCAGGAATTCAATAAATATTTGTGAGTAAATAAATATGATTTCAAACATAAGAGGAAAATTTATACAGCTGTAGTGGATTTCCCTGAAGGAAAGCTCTACAAAGGCATTTGAGTTTAGATAATCTAAACCCATAAGAAAATTAACTAGATTATTCTAACAGGAAAGGAATAAGCACTTCAAACTTTATATTTTTTATTCTTGTTTTAAATTTATGTTTTTGTTGGGAGGAGGATACAAAAAGATTAAATGACACAAAATTACAGCTAGATAGGAGGAATAAGTTCCAGTGTTTTACAGAACTGCAGGACTACAGATAACAAGCTTTGTATTTGAATAGAAAAGGTACACATGTCATGTGCCAACCCCCTTCTGCTGCCTTACCCAAGACTGGGAAATGGAACAGAAGACATGGGTTCTACAGAGGGGCAAAGTGCAGAACCTGCTCAAACACAGTGGCCCTAGGGCGAAAGGTTCTCAATTGGAATTGTGTTGGTGCTTGTGTGGATGAAGCACTCAGTTCTGAGCCTTGGGAGCCTTTTGAAGGCCCTCCTGGCCAAGACGATCTTGAGGAAATGGCTGACCCGTTGGCTGCCTTCCAAATGGATGACACAGTCTAGAATTTTATAAGCTAAATGAGTAAAAGGAACCCAGTTGACTGGATTTATCACCAAACCTATCTTGTGAGACTCAATCTAGAGCTAGTACAATTTAGAAAAATACATACATATATCATATATTAAACTCTGAGTATCATGAAACAGATCCTAGATGTTATAATAATAAGAACCTACATGGGTGTTTCTCCCACACTCTGTCCTGGCTTTCTTCTGCTTCCTATCTAAGGCAGCCTAGACTCACTTAAGCAGCTCTAATAGGCCAAACAAGAGAGTGGTCAAGGAGTGGCTGAAATGTGAACATAAAGACTCATCATTATATTACAGCAATCAATCTATCCTTAAAATAATTTAGGTTTAGTCTCAAGTGCTAGAGGCTTCCCCATTTACTCATACATGGAAGCCTGAAGAATAAACAGAACTATAAACTTCCCTCTGGGCATAAAACCTGCATGTTTTCCATGGCCATCGACTCCATCTTACAAGTCAGACTTTTTTGGATCACACAGAGGACTCCCTTCACTCTCCAGATTCAGTGATTCCTGGGTTGAGATAGTAATGAAAACAATTCCTTATTGGATAAAGAGAAATTGTGCCATGGGGTAGACCGGTAGCTTAGGAAAAAAAAAAAATGGATGAGGAGAGGAGCTGGGAATTTGTGGGGAAGACAGCCTAAAATCTGACAATCTGGTTGGAGAATGATAAAGGATACTGGAACCCAAGGAGGAGTTGAGTAAGAGCTTAGGATAAAGATGTGGTGGGATTTGGAGAAGAAAGTGTTAAAAAAAAAAAAAGAATTTGGAATCTGACACTTTTCCGACTACTAGGAGGTCTGAAAGACTCAACTCTGTAGCGACATGAAGGGGAACAAACTTCGTCTGAATAGGGAAGGTTCTAGTATGATCTCTGCTTTCCTTAGACAAGTGACCCTGGAGAAGTCACTTCACCTCTGAGCTTTAGATTGTTCATCTCTAAAAAGGAGATAACAATATCTGCTGCCTGCCACCTCAGTGAGGCTGCACCAAGGATCGGTTTGGAGGAGGCAAAGCAGAATGCCCTATGGCAGAGCATGGAGGCCCTAGAGTTAGATCAACATACTTACATCCCATCTTTACAACCTACTGGCTGTGTGACCTTGAGCAAGTCACTTCACCTTCAGAAAGCCCATTGGATCTCTGTAAAATGGGCAATTCCATAGGTGGTTGTGATGATAAAATGAAAAAGCCATTCTTATATGAGTTACGTGCCGTATGGTAAGTTATGTGGTAACTTACTTGTTTTTGGCAGAACAATTATTTTCCTTTGGAAATAATTGGAATTAAAGGAATTGCTGGGTGGAAAGGTAGTTCTCTTTTAAATTATTTCAGAAATCTCCAAAGTGCTTTCTGCATTACTTTTTCCATGAACTAATTTACACTCGGGCCAACAGTGTATAAGCATTCCCTTTCCTCTGCAGCCTCACCAGCATCTTCTGTTATTTTTTTTGTTTTTTTTTTTTTATATTTTAATAATAGCCACTCTCCAGCCACGCTCTTTCAAGGCCAATGTGGGGAAGAGCCATGAACATCCATTTTCCCGAAGAGAATTCTTGCCTGCCCACTGGCAGAATGCTTGTTGTCATCTGTCTTCTTGTTTTTCAAAGAAAAACCAAAGGTAAAGTAGTATGATCTTCCACACCTGAACCAGTTTGTAGCTGCCAGAGCCTGCTGGGAAGGGGCCCCCCAAGCATGCATTGATCTTGTCACCTGGAATTTGAGAGATCAACAAGCCCCATAGCAACCGACCATACAACTGCCCATCAGCGCCCATCCTTTCATGGGATTAGCTCAATTCTGGCTCTGCAGACACTGGCAGCCACAGGTCACAAATCCTGGGCCTCTGTGGGCTTCCCTCATCACCCACGGCCAAAATGGGCTGCCTGTCCTAGGCAGAGACACAGCAACATTCTGTTAAACTGAAATTAAGCTTAAATCCACTTCACCAATAATCATCTGAGGGCACAGTCCCTGCCTCCTTCCTGGGGGATTTTAAAACACACATCTCTCTGACCAAACAGGTAGGTGAGATCTGACTTTAAAGGGGGGGAAATCGGGATGAACTTGGGCATTAGGAATGAATCCCAAGTGTTTTTGTGTGGGGACAGGCATTCACATCCCAAACTGTACCTGGAGATGGAGAAAAATGCAGGAGAGGAGGAGAGAAAAAAAGGGGGACAAAGTGGCTAAAAGTAAATGAAAGCTTCCCTTTTGGTTCTTTCCAGCTCTGGTTGCTTTGCCAAGATCGTAGGTGAAGGCAGGGTCAGCTCTGGCTGGGAGCTGCTGCTCTGGGAGATGGGAGAGTCATGTCACCTCCAGAAAGCTCATTTGATCATCTGTAAAACGGGGAATCCCATAGCTGGTTGTGATGATAAAATGAAAAACACATTCTTAACTTGTATGAGTTACATGCTGTATAGTAAATTATGTGCTATATAGTAAGCACACAAAAATGATTCACTGTTATCATAATTGAAGGGCAGTAGTTTGGTGTGCTAAGCACTAAATGCAAGCCAGAAAGATGTCTTAGAGAAGTAGACAAAGAAAACTGTAGCTCAGAATGAACAGTGCCAAGAATGGCATGTCCTCCAAATTGAGCTCGGGCACCTGGATCTGAACCTGTCCTACACATCTGAGTCTACAGTATGAGGTAACAGTCTCCACCTGTTAGGCCCTTTCTAAGGTCATTCATTTGTGAACAAAGCTGACCTCAGACTATACTGTGATCATTTTTAAGAAGAGCGCAAAATACTGGAGAAGACTAGTCTTCAAGCTCTGAATACAGAAAATCCTCATATTCTGGGGTGTTCCTTTCCAGACAGAGGAAGTGACAGCCACAAGCACTGATCCAAAAATCCTTTTCCAAACATTTTCCATCTTCTACAGAGTTCACCTCTGTTTAGTGCACACTGGTGTCTACAGTTGCTAGAGCAGAGTCTCTCCTTATCCTCCCAAGGCAGGAGTTCTGCAGAGAGACCCCATGACAAGGGATAAAATGAAACAACATGTTTAGGGACAACACAGGAAAACCCGTATTATCCAATGCTCCAAAAGAGCCTGGTTACACTCAGGCTTAACTACAAATTCTTCATGAGCAGCAGAGAGAGTGTCATCTACATGGCAGTCATAGCTAGATGGAGTCTGGAACTGTGGCAAGGTAAGGCTCTAAGACAAAGTGCCAGGAAAAAGATGAATTGAATCATCTGTTCTGCCAGGAAGAAAATACCAGGAAGGAATCAAATGTACCGTTTGTCCTCTGGGGACCTCTGCCTTGATCCTCAATGAATCTCCTTTTAGATGCCACCTGCAGCAATCCCCATACTTCACAACGCTCTCCGCGGCTTTACCATGTTGGCCTTATGATCAGCTCTACCAGATCTGTATTTTGGGAAAGACAGAATCCTTCATGAATCTCATTGTCTTCCTCTATAAATGAAATAATTTTTGCTCTGCACAAATCACAATTAGCATGTTTGTGGGAAGTTAAACTGTGAAACTCAGCATAAACGAAAAGCTATGCACCACTCCTTGCCAAAAACTGACTGTAAAGCTGTCAGACACCTTACACCATCTAAGTACAGCAGCGTTAGGTTCCAGGCCCAGCAGTGATTAGATAAGTACGGAGTGAAGGGTATCTCAGAGCAGTGGAGTCTCCTGGCTGTCAGGAAGCTGGATCGGTGGCCATGCCAGGAGTTGAACCCGGAAGGTACTTTGTGTGTCCTCTCAACTCCACGGGCCCCCACTTCAACATTTTCCAATTCCCTCTGGTTTCCATTTTGCTTCTCCCTCTGGCCCTGGCCATGTCAAATTTCACCACCAGTTTCTGAGCTTTTCTCATTTTGTTCATCGTCTTTGGAACCTGCTGCATCTTACCTTTCAAAGAATTCAAACTTGAACTCTACTCACTCCTGCCCATCACCAGCCTGAACTCAGAGTTGCTGAGAGAAGGAAAAGCACCCTCCATAAAGCAAGCTCCTCCTTTCTTTACATCACTAGACCTGAGTACAGACAGCATCTCCATCTCCACACTGCTCTGGCCAGGTTATGCCTCGATCAATTACACAACTGTCTTAGTAGCATTGGTAGGGCCCAAATCAGGGTATTCTCTGGGAAGATTCATTTTGTACTGAGCACAGCATAATCTCACTACATCGAAGATAGAAAATTCTATTGGTCCACCTCCACATCTTCGTTATTGAACCCAATATGTGACCCATTTACCATGTGCTAAAATCTCCACCTTCTGCTGATTCTCAGATCAGATCAGAACACAGATTTATCATGGTCAAAGTCGATATCTCATCGGGGGCATGTCTGTTTGGGAGCATGTCATTTGTTGTTTGGAGAGCTCATGGTAGGGGTAATAGTAATAGTAATAGTAATAGTAATAGTAATAGTAATAGTAATAGTAGGGCGATTTCGATCCAAATAGTAGAAAGGTGATGGCAACTAGGAAAATTTTATGGAGAAAGGAATGCGAGCAGAATTTGAGTAGGTCAAAGCCGCATTCATAAGAGTCAGTTTTCTGTGTAGGAGTTGAGTTGAGGTAGTCAGAATATGATGATTATTAATAGTAGGGTCAGAAGGGTGTTGATTATTAAGGCTAATACTAGGTTAATTACTCTTTCTTGAATATTGTCGAAACTGGCTAATTGGAAGTCAACAACACTAATTGTACTAAAGAGTAAGACCCTCATCAGTAGATAGAAATATAGAGGAATAATCAGACTACATCTACAAAATGTCAATTTCAAGCGGCGGCTTCAAGCGAAGTGGTGGTTTGATGTGAAGTGGTATAATAGTTGGCGAATAAGACAGATAGTGAGGAATGTAGATCAATGATAGCGTGGAGTCCGTGGAAGCCTGTGGCAACAAGAATGTCGAACCGTAGATACCATCGGAAATAGTAAAGGGTGCTTCAAAGTATTCTGAGATTTGCAGTAGGGTGAAGTAGATGCCTAGTAGAATTGTAATGAGCAGGGCTTGGATTATTTGTTTTCGGTTATTTTCTATTAGACTATGGTGGGCTCAGGTGATTGAAGCTCTGATCAAAGCAATACAGAGGTGTTTAAAGGGTACTTCCCCAGTGGATTTAGGGAGTAATTCCTGTTGGTGGTCAGTGTCCTCCTAGGTGGGGCTGCCAACCCCGAGCAGATGGTCCAGTTTGCATCACCCTGAGTGCCAATAGCCAGGGCACCATGAGGCTGCATAAAAAATACCTATGACAAGATGCACATGAGACAGACAAATGTCTTCACATTGAAGAAGGGGAGGAGTGCACCATTGGTTCCATGCTCAGAGGCACTGGAGAAGTGGCACCTGCCTAACCTGTTCCCCTCCTTCTTTGCAACACTTCCCATCCTTAAGCCTTGGTAGCAAGGAGAGCCATATCAAATCCTGCTCCCGGATGCTGAGTCTCACTCTCCTTACCCCTTAGTTTTTTGGAATTCTAATTCCCCAAAGCCTTAGATTTAACCGTGCCACACGCTGGCGGAAGCATCTTCATATTCACAGGAATGAGCCTTAGATATGACTTTGCTCCTCTCCTGGGGGCTTCAGGACACTGAAAAGCAAAGCATTACCAACACCCTTACTTAAGTACATTAAATACATCCCCAATTTAAAAAGATTCCTAAGAAGCTTAGGCCAAGGCCATTTCTCCTCAGCCTAACCCTCACCTCCTCGGCCTCAGAAATCAGCTGTGATCCGGGGCTTGATTTTCCCTGTCATCCCTATCCCAGCATCCTTCCAGGAAACAGCCAGTCTCCCTCTCTGCTCTCAGAAGGCAAGTTCCCTTATCACCTGTGGATACAAACCCACAGAGTAGCCAAACACAGCCAGGCTGATGCAAGACCCTGGGAAGAAAGCTGCAGTTTGTTGGTCCTACGAGCAGTGGCCTCACCTCAAAGACACTTCCTCCCAGTCCTCGGAGTATAAAGACAGGTCCTCCACCACCAGTCAAACCTCCACCACCACCATAAGATCCCTCCTGATCACTTGACCTTTGTAGGAGCTGCTGGTGAGTTTCATGCCCTACCTCAGGCCCCAACCACCCCTTTCCTGGCAGACTGTGCCCTTCCATTCTTGCCACCTCTCCTCTTTTGACTGTGCTCTGGTATTCTATTTACTCTATCTGGCATCTCTACTTCCCATCCTCCCTGGGCTCTCTTGAAGCCTCACCTCTTTCACCTTCTCCCTGATTTCACTCCCACCACTGCAATTCATCCATATCCGAGCTGGGGATGGAGATGCTGGGAAGGGAGACAAGGTGAGCTGTCTCTAAAATAAAGCAGTGGGTTTCAGGCTTGGCTCCCCAGCACAGAATACCTCCCACTATAGCTGCTCTTAACCTTGAATGCACCTGGGAGGTGGAAAAATTACTTGTGCCAGAAGACTCAACTCTGAAATTCTCACTTCATTTGTCACAGAGTGCAGCCTGTGTTCTGGGCTTTTAAGCTTCCCAGGTGATTTTTAACATTTCTAAGCATGCAGCCAAGGATAAGAATTGCCGTTCTTTTAGACAATAATAATGTCTACCTTTGTTCTGTCAGTAGACAGGGGCTGCCCTCAGCTCCGCCTTCACTACACAGATCTGAGCTGAGGAAGCTGGTCATGGCCAGGTCTACACAGCAGGGGATTTTCCTAGTTGGCCAAAGTCTCCTGACCATCAGGGCTTAAACGGCCAGGTGGAGTACACAGGTGGTGAATGAAAGAGAAGCATTCATTTGGGTGAGACAGACACATCCCAACTCCTATCCCACTGGAAGCATTTTGAGGACATTCCTTGCATCCTTAGCCTGGTGACCCCAGGAGAGATCTGAACACCTGCAGGGTACCTAGCTATGTGCCCTGCAGACAGATATGAAGCCACATCCAGTGATGCTCACCAGGGTAGCGCTCACTCCCTTGCCTAGCCTCACTGAGGCTTCTTAAGGATTTCTAATTAGCAGAGAGCAACTGCAGGCTGGGAGCACCACCCCTAACATGCAACTGACTTGCCTTCTCCTTCCCAACTCCCTCCAGTGGCTGCCCGCTTTGTGATGATGACAAGATCGTTGGGGGCTACACCTGTGAAATTCTATCCCCTACCAGGTGTCCTGAATTCTGGCTACCACTTCTGTGTTAGCTCCCTCATAAACAGAGAGTGGGTGGTGTCAGCAGCTCACTGCTACAAGCCGTAAGTGTGGGGCCCCTGACTGCAAAGCTCCCAGCCAGGTATTGCCTGGGAAAGCAGCCAGCCCAGGGAAGTACTGAGGCTACCAGGTGAGACGGATGGGAGAGGTGGTGGAGAAGAAAACTTATTGGCAGCAGCTGACTGTCCAGAGCAGAAAGTGAACACAAGACAGGAACCTCTCACACCCAGGCAAATCCATGAAACAGCAAGGGTTGTGGTCATAAAAGCAGGCAGGAATGATCTTGGAGTGGACTGAGCTTGTGAGAAAAGCAGGCAAGTACTTTTGCTGAATTAAGCTATACATTAAACCACCTAAGAAGAGTTTTTAAAAATACTGATGCCTGTGTCCTGTCCAGGGCAATTAACTCAAAATTTTCAGGAAGAAAGTGTGAATATCAGTATTTCACACTCTACCTCTGGTAACTATAAGAGTGTATAAGACAGACTGAACTGCCACCTACACCAAAAACTCAAACCTGGTATGCATCGGAACCAGCTGCAGGCTTGCTGTGGCACAAATCACTGAGTCCCATCCCCGGGGTTCTGATCAGTAGGTGGGAGTAAGGACTCAAATTTACATTTTCTAACAAAGTTTCAGGAGATACTAAGCTATGGCTACTGCTTGGATTAGATTACACAGAAGAAATTAGTGTTCACCATGCCAAGAAGGGAGGAGGAACAGGCACTGTCAGTTGTAAAGGCCTGGGGTGAAGATGCTGGGAAAACTACAAGGAGCTCTTTGTGCCCATAGTGCTGGTGTTATTGGAAATTGTGGGAAAAGAGGCTGGGAAGGTGGGGTGAGGAGCAGCCTCTGGTGCATCCCTTTGACTCTTCCGCACCCCACTAACAACAACCTCTGAAGCAGAAGGTCTGGGTCTCCCACCTGCACTGTCCCACATCCTCTACCCATGCGATATGGCCACATACTCCACCCCGACCTGCCTCCCAGGAAGCTGTCCATGAGCAGGGAGCTTAAGGACCTAGGGAAGGTGGGATGGGTGTGTGGGGAGAAGGTCTTCACCATGCCTGCCCTGCTCATCAGCCGCATCCAGGTGAGACTGGGAGAGCACAACATCGAAGTCCTGGAGGTCACAGGCAGTTCATCCCAGTGCAGCCAAGATCATCCCTTTACCCCAACTACAACGAGGTTAAAATATAACAATGACATCATGCTGATCAAACACCACCTGCTGTCATCAGTGATGTGTCTACCATCTCTGCCCACCTCCCCTCTAGCACCTGGCACTGTGTGCCTCATTTCTGGCTGGGGCAACCTCCCAGGCTCTGGCGGTGAGTAGGACCACTTTGTCCTTTCTCCTTCCCTCCATCCTCCCTATTTCCAGAATAGAAGCATATCCCTTAATTTGAATCCTCTACTTCAGGCTTAAAATCATTTTCAATGCCCATTATACTGGGCTCTGCTGGACATGAGAGAGATGCAGAAAGTCTGAGGACTTGGCTCCTAATACAAAGACAGGACAAATGGAGAGCTTTTGTGATCACATCTTGGGAGGTTCAACAATGATCATTCTGGGAACTAAAAGCCAGAGTCCATTGCCAGGACTTACGTTTTAGAGTCCTCCAGGAGCAGTGTTCCTATTCACTGTTCCATCCTAGATTATTGTCTCCTTCTCCGGCCTGACCCACATTTCAAACTTTTTTGATCTGTTTCCTGATCCTCACAGCCGACTACCCAGATGAGCTACAGTGCCTGGATGCTCCTGTGCTGACTCAGGCTGAGTGTAGAAGCCCCTACCCTGGAAGGATTACCAGCAACATGTTCTGTGTGGGCTTCCTTGAGGAGGCAAAGTTCCTGCCAGGTGATTTGAACAACCCTTCCCATGCTGGAAGCTCCCACTGATACTCAGCCCCATCTCGATAAAGGTTTCAACTGCCAAGGTGGCGGCGGAGGAGGCTCCTGCAGTGTCCCATGGAGAAGTGAGAGAGCTCCTTGGGCTACATGCTGTCTGCTTAGGAAGAACAGAGAATGGGCCACCGTGAGAAGGATGTGGAGCCTAGAGTTGGCTGGAAAAAGAGTCTTGCCAGGTTCAAGTAAATATAGCTATATTCTCCTCCATCTCTCCTTACAACATATACCTTCTTCTCCCCAGGCGACTCTGGTGGGCCTGTGGTCTACTGTGACGGACAGCTCAGGAGTTGTGTCCTGGGAGTTATGGCTGTGCCCAGAAGAGAACAACCCTGGAGTCTACACAAGGTCTACAACTATTTGGCCTGGATTAAGGACACCATAGCTGCCAACAGCTAAACCCCAGTCTCTGTGCAGTCTCTATACCAGTAAAGTGACCCTGTTCTCACTGTCACTGTGCCTCACGCCCTCACACTCCTTCACACCAAGGAAAGCAACCTCCAATCTCCAGGTCAGACAGTGCTGTCTCCCTTAAATGTAAGCAGAGCCCCCAGCTCCCAAAATGTGTTCCATGGTACACTAGATTAGCATACAAAGAGATGGAATCAAAAATAAGAAGCTTGGGAGAAAGGGGCACTGTTTTCTAGAGAAAAGTGTGTTTCAAACGGTGGTCTTTGGTGGGGGGTATTGATTTTTATTTGGGCTTCTCACAGTGGTTGGAGCTACTCTACCTTCAGAACAATCACAGCACAGAAAATGTGTCAGCATCTTCCAGACAGCCCAAAAAATTTGACGAGCTAAATCTTATTGCTAAAATACAATAATTACAAATGCTACTGAGTGATGACATGTACCTCTCCCAGGAATTTTTGGCATCAAACCCTCAACCAAACCTCCTTCTCATTGGCCGGAAAATCAGACTCAAGTAAATCTCCTGGTCCCCTAATTATCCTGAATTCCTAGTTCCATCTCTGTGAGCAGCTAGAGATGTCGCCTATGGCAGGGGAGCCGGGCCTGCGACTTGGGAATCAGGCCCAGCTCTACACACTGCATTTCATCTTCTTTGCCTTTGGGACAGGACACTGCAGTGACTCCCTCAGCTAACACCGGCTCCCCCACTCTGACCAGGAAAGAAACTAGAGGTCAGGATTCCCCAATTTGATCAATTAGCTGAGGAAGGATTCATTTTCTCAAACTGCTCACCTTTAAGACACTTCAAATGAGTTATTTGGGACACTTTTAAAAAGGTAGAAGGAAAGATCTGAGGGCTGTGACACCATCCAGCCACTCTGGCCACATGTTAGCTGGCTTGCACTCACTGGACACAGCAGAGGGAGGCAGGCCAGTGGCAACTCTGGCACCTGCCAAAGCCTCCTCCCTGGCAATTCTGAGAGGGCCATGTTGAGGTCCATAGCTCATCAAGCTTGTCACAGAAGATCCAAGCAAGTTTCTCTTTGAAATTCCACCTTCACCTTCTGTCCCAAGTGGTTGTGGACACCACTGGGAGCTGGAACCAAGGGCCAGGGCAGCCAGGGGACAGACGGAGTTCAGAGCACATTTCCTGCTACAGGAAACACAGTACAGGCCTCCAAGTGTCCAGGGAGCAGCGTGCAAATTGCAGTAGGCTAAGGTAAGAGGTAAAACCCTACATGGAGCACAGCATTCCTGGCCAACACAGGGGACCTCAATCCACTTGCTGTGCAATACACCCAAACCATCAGACACTTGTGTAGTAAACAGTAAATGTGTAAGATCAATTATCTTCAGAGGGCCATCTCGGCTCCAGATGTGATTCGTATAAGGAGATGGCTACCACTCACACTATCTTCGGAGAAAAGCGAGATCAGAGGCTCACACACAATGGACAGATACACCGCAGTTGAAAATTTACACTGCATACAAACATCACTTTGTTCAACAAGGATTTTGTTTTTGCTGATCCAAAGGCAGACAGACCATAGTTCACCTTACAGCCTTGGGTTTGTCTGCTTTTGGAGAGAGAGATATATATACACAAGATAGATAGACAGACAAGATAGACACATTTTTCCCTTTCTTACCCATAATGTCAGTGCCTCTCTGAGTATCATCATCACTCAAGAGTCAAGGGGAAGAACCAAAGCGCTTCATAGAAACAGGGCATGGGCATGAGAGTGTTAGTTTCCCCTGTTTTCTGTCTCCATTCAGATCATTCCTATCAAAGCCCAGTTGGTTACCTGAAGCCAAGAGACAGACATAAGGATCCCAGTGGCCTTCCAGACGGCCACTTCTACCTCCTACCTGGGCCACTTAGAGTCTTGAAACAGAAAAGTGAGTCACCCACTCAGAATAGTTGCCAGGCAGAAACAGGGCATGAAAATCACAGATAACCATGGGATTTCTTCCAGAGTAGTCAGTGTAAAACTAAACCAACACTACCACCACCAAAAACACAAAACAAGCAAAAAAATCCTTATTGAAAATTCAAGACAAACTACTGTATAGAGTCAGGCCATGGGGTTGCCTTTTCTCAGGCCACACAGCTTTCCCAGTCCATTTGCTCACATGGAACCGTGAGATGTGAAGGTCTCAGAGTGTGGCCAGGATCGAGGCTGGTAGTGTTCACTTGTGGAGTCAGAACAAAGGGCAAAGCAGAAAGTTGCAACTCTGTCCACTGCCACAGCTTAGGGCCTCCTCACAGAGGCTCGAAGGAAACCCCCACCTCCAGCCTTCACACAAACATCTCCTTCTGCCTCAACTACAACCAGGCTGGAGTGCCGTGGCATGATCTCTGCTCACTCTGCATGACTCAGGGTTCAAGTGATTCAGCCTCCCAAATCGCTGGGATTGCTGACTCCCACCACCATGTCCAGCTATTATTTTTTCTTTTGTTTTGTATTTTTAGTAGAGACAGGGTTTCACCATGTTGGCTAAGGCTGTTTGAACTCTACGGCTGAAGTGATCCAAAGTGCTGGGCTTACAAGCGTGTGCCGCTGCTTCTGGCCCGGGCCCCATTAAAAAAAAATTCCAACACATTTTACATTCCAGGGGGTACATGTGCAGGTTTGTTACATGGGTATATTGTGTGATACTGAGGTTTGGGGCACAAATGATCTTATCACTCTAACCCAGTGAGCATAATGCCCAATAGGTAGTTTTCACCCTTTCCACCCTCCTGCTCCTCTTCCCTCTAGTAGTTGCATATTTATTGTTCCCATATTTATGTCCATGTGTATCAATGCTCAGCGCTCTTATTAATACTACTTCTATGTGTTATCCCACTTATATGCGAGAATGTGATATTTGTTTTCCATTCGTATGTTAATTTGCTTAGCATTATAGTCTTCATCTCCATCAATGTTGCTGCAAAAGACATGATTTCATTCTTTTCATGGCTGTATAGCATTATACCATGTATGTGTACCACATTTCCTTTATCTAGTCTACTGCTATGGCCACCTAGGTTGATTCCATGGCTTTGCTACTGTGAACAGTGCTGTGACAGACGTTCAAGAGCATGTGTCTTTTTGGCAGAACAATTATTTTCCTTTGGGTAAATGCCCAGGAAAGGAATTGCTGGGTAAAAAAGTAGTTCTGTTTTAAATTATTTCAGAAATCTACAAACTGCTTTCTGCATTAATTTTTCCATGAACTAATTTACACTCGGGCCAACAGTATATCAGCATTCCCTTTCCTCTTCACCAGCATCTTCCTTTTTCTTTTTTTTTTTTTTGACTTATTTAATAATAGCCACTCTCCAGTCAAGCTCTTTCCAAGACCAATGCTGGGGGAAGGCCACAAACATCCTTTCCGGAGAGAGAGGTTAACGTGCCCACTGGCAGAATGCTTGTTTCCATCTGTCTTTCATTGTTTGTCAAAGAAAAACCAAAGGTAAAGTGGTATCATCTTCCACACCTGAACCAGTTTGCAGCCGCCAGAGCCTGCTGGGAAGGGGACCCTCAAGCATGCATTGATCTTGTCACACAGCCAAGCCCCGTAACCAACCCCTGACCATACAACTGCCCATCAGCACTCATCCTTTCACAGGATTAGCTCAATTCTGGCTCTTACCGAACACTGGCAGCCACAAGGTCACAAACCCTGGGCCACTGTGGGCTTCTCTCATCACCCAAGGCCACAATGGGCTGCCTGTCCTAGGCAGAGACACAGCAACTTTCTATTAAACTGAAATTAAGCTTAAATCCACTTCACCAATAATCCTCTGAGAGGCCACAGTCTGCCTCCTTCCTGGGGATTTTAAAACACATCTCTCTGACCAAGCAGGTAGGTGAGATCTGACTTTAAAGGGCGGGAGAGTCGGGATGAACTTGGGCATCAGGAATGAATCCCAAGTGTTTTGTGTAGGAGACAGGCATCCACATCCCGAACTGTACACTGGAATGGAAAAAAGGCAGAGGAGAAGGAGAGAGAAAAAAGAGAGGACAAAGTGGCTAAAAAGTAATTGAAAGCTTCTCTTGTGGTTCTTTCCAACTCTGGCTGCTTGCGAAAGGTCTGGAAGTGAAGGCAGAGTCAGCTCTGGCTGAGAGCTGCTGCTCTGGGAGATGGGAGAGTCACTTCACCTCCAGAAAGCTCATTTGATCATCTGTAAAATGGGGAATCCTATAGTTGGTTGTGAGGATAAAATGAAAACACATTCTTAACATATATGAGTTGCATACTGTATAGTAAGGTACATGCTATATAGTAAGCTCACAAAAATGATTCAGTGTTATCATAATTGAAGGACAGTGATTTGGTGTACTAAAGCACTAAATACAAGCCAGAAAAGATGTCTTGAAGTAGACAAAGAAATCTGTAGTTCAGAATGAACAGTACCAAGAATGGCATGTCCTCCAAATTGAGCTCAGACACTTGGATCCGAACCTGTCCCACATGTGAGTCTATGGTATGAAATAACAGTCTCCACCTATAGCTATCTTTGCTGCCTATAGGACATTTCATTTCTGAACAAAAGCTGACCTCAGACTATGCTGCTTGATCATTTAAGGAAGAGCACAAAATATGGAGAATGCTAGTCTTCAAGCTCTAGATACAGAAATCCTCACATTCTAGGGTGTCCTTTCAGACAGAGAGTGAGAGCCACAAGCACTGATCCAAAAATCTGCTTTCCAAACAAATTTTCCATCTTCTACAAAGTTCCACCTCCTGTTTGAGTACACCGCAGTGTCTACAGTTGCTAGAGCAAGAGTCTCTCCTTGTCCTCCAAGGCAGGAGTTCTGTGAAGACCCCATGACAAGGGGGGCAAATGAAACATGTTTAGGGACAACAGAAGTAAAACCCATACCATGGATGCTCCAAAACCTGGGTACCTCAGGCTTGGCCAGTTATTCCTTAGAGCAGAGAAGTGTCATCAACATGGCAGTCATGGCCTGGATGGAGTCTGGAAATGTGGCAAAGTG